CAATGGGCTATCTGTGCTCTGTCCACCACGGGTATCGAAACCCGGTTTCTAGCGTTGTAAGTCCGCAGACATACCGCTGTGCCACTGGGGGTTAGTAGTGAAACATTTCACGTTAAAATTTACGCAAGTTCTTTATTTCCTCTGTTTATTCCTGCCCTTAAATTATTAAACCGTGTAACAGACTTTTTAAGTTTGTTTTGTTTTTAACTTGACCTTAAACAGTAGGAACTTTCGCAAATGAAATTGCTCATATTGCTTACATACAAGTATTCTAAGTAGTACTGACATGAAGGTTTTAATTTTTTTTTCTTCCCCAAAAATAACTCTTTGTCCCCTTATGCCTCATAAGCCCCCCAGTGGCACAGCGGTATGTCTGCGGACTTACAACGCTAGAATCCGGGTTTCGATACCCGTGGTGGGCAGAGCACAGATAGCCCATTGTGTAGCTTTGTGCTTAATTACAAAAAAAGAAACAAAACAAATATGCCTCATAAACAGTAAATCCTGAGCAAATTTCATCATATTTTATTTAATTTTTGCAGTTACAGTAAATGTGAAGTATATATACATATATCAGACAAGTTTATTTGAAACAAATCACATTGAACTTCGAGACCCACATATTGATCTGTGAATACAGGTAGAAGTATGTCTGACGGTATTGAGACAAGAGTTCATGCAACTGATCAGTGGCATGCGCGTTTGAGACATGATCATGTAAGTCTCGTGCAGTGGAGATACTGAAGGACAACAAACCTGTACCATCTGGAAGTTATATAACAATCAAGTTTTCTAGCGTCGTCTACATAAAACAAAATTTATTGTCACATACCTTTGTTTTTTTCAGTTGCGATAAATACATTTTCTATCAAGTAGTAGAATCTTGTTTCTTTAACAATGTGAATGAAAGTTCTTCTGCAGGCAACATAAACACAAGTAGAGTATGCATCTATGCCCAAAGGCTAACTGTTGTTACTATCCAGTTCCTACCTAACTCTCAAAACTAAGTGCTTGCTTTATTAGTTTAATTCATAAACTCAGTAATTCCTATTGAACCCAGTTGTGTTAACACTAATTAACGCTGTCAAACCAAATCTTATGTTTTGCCTCTGCATTATCTAAATAGGTGTATATTACAGAGTTTATAATGATTCATCATTTATTTGTTTTTAAACTTTTATATTTCATAGCTAATTCCGCTTTAAATTATCTTATTCTACTCTGTTTCTGTGATATTATTTTGTTGTTTTCATAACATCTGTGATTCACGTTTCTTTCTTTTGATTTCAGTAATGATAAGCTAATTGTGCGGTTAGTCTCAAAGTGGGTTCCTCGCCATCGAATTTTAATTGTGCGGTTGTTGGTACGTTCGAAACTTTATGCACGTTTATTCACGCTACTTGAATTTGTGGAATTTTCAGGTCGAACTTTAAGAGTGACAAGATAGGTCGGCAGAATAATAGGAGACTCGACCAAGATATTAATCAGACAGCAATCCTGAGTGCTCTGAGTAATGGAGTTCGCGGTGAAGAAATAGAAAGACGAAAAAACAACAACAAAACAAACTGTTTATTCAAAGACAAACACACTAAGTGCACTTGGTTGACACGATAGACTGTCATTTTTATTGTATCTAGATAACTTTTCTCCAGTCTATCTTGGTTGAGATCTTGTTTCATTCTGACTAAAACTTACTGAGTTGATGATTGCAACAAATTGTTAATTTTCTGTCAATGCCTTTAGTAGAGTAAATACTAAAACTTACTTGAGTTGATGATTGCAACAAATTGTTAATTTTCTGTCAATGCCTTTAGTAGAGTAAATAATAAAACTTACTTGAGTTGATGATTGTAATAATTTGTTAATTTTCTGTCAATGCCTATAGTAGAGTAAATGCATGCGACTCACATCTTGGTGATTTATTAGCGTATGATTCAGTATGAAGGAGCAAAGCATTTTATTCGTATTTAAATCTCTGAACTATTTCGTTCCTTAAGAATGAGAAATATCTCATATATGACTGTAAATAGCATTCATTCTAAAACGGAACAACTGTAATTTTATATTTTTCGAAGGTTTTTCTTTTGTTTGCTCTCCGTATTTACATAATCACAAATAGGCGTACTTAGTCTGAAATAAACAGACAATAACTTTTTTGTGTGTAAAATAACATTGCACTTTAAAACATGTTATTTATGAAGCATGTGGTTGTATAGTGTGCATCATATAATCCTAAAGTTTTCGAAACTGTAATAAACATTACACTAAACATTTAGGGAATGGTTATAAAAAGCCAAAAGTAGACTTTCTCTAAGTTTTCAGCATTAAGTATAGTACGTAACGTACGAGGGTTTAACGCTTGAAATAACTCCATAGAAAAACAATAATTGTGCAATATAATATTGAGGGCGCATCTAAGTTTCATAAAATTTAATAATCTGATGACGAAAAATAAGTTTGGTTTTGAATTTTGCGCTAAGCTATTATTATTTTAAAGGGAAGGCAGCTAGTCAATACCACCCATCGACAACTCTTGGGCCACTCTTTAACAATGAATAGTGGGATTGATCGCAACTTTATAACGTCTCCACGACCGAAAGAGTGAGCATGTTTGAGCATGCCAGGTCAAAAAACTTGGTTATAATTTGTTTTAGATATATAATGTTGATTTATAACGCATTTACACCAGTGTTTTCCAACTCATTTGGCCTGAATACACTGTACACAAACACACGGGTCCGAGATAAGCGTCATTGCTTAAAATCGTTTAACCTCACAGGGAGCCAAACGTGGTGGACCCCTGTCATGTTTGGCGCACCTCCAAGGGGGTGCGCCCCCCCCAGGTTGAGAACCACTGCTGTACAGAATACTTTACACAAGTCAAACTCAGAATACACTTCTTACGTGTGCTAAGTCGCTATCATAAATGAATACAAAGGTTCATTCCTTAAACTGATTCCTATAATAAACGTGAAAGTAGGGTAAAGGTTTTAAGAGTTATTATACCATTAACACGTTAAAGAGATGTGACATAACAAAGGACATGATAAGCGACAAACGTTAAATTCTGATACAATAATATTCCAATGAATAATGTGCTTATAACGTTATATATGTTTACCACAATTTGATTATTCATTTTCTGAAGTAACAGCGATATACATTCGATACTCAGCTGTGAGTTACTAGTAATATTTTTATTTTACATTTTTCTCGAAAATAGTTTGTTTACTGTTACAACTATTTCAATGAGTTATTGCGCATCCTTGAAACACGTACCTTTCTTTCCCTTATACTGCTGTGGACTTTTCCGGAAGTTGACGTAACAGAGAGGCCAGGATTTAGTGTTAAGTTACACGACTATAACCGTATTTGGAAAGTCATTGATGTGGTTTTATGTTTGACTTGGGTGGAATTGTATTAAAACCAAAACAAAAGGGTTGATAGGTATTTGAATAATTCACCTTTTGTAAAAGTAACTCGTGTCGTAAAGCTAAACGTATTGCTTCGCTTATTTACAGTGTCAGCACCGTTGTACTACGATAACTGAAGGATTCATTCATTACTGTGTGGGACTGGACCATTCATAAAAACGGTAGTATCTAGAAGGCGTGCTGTTGGTCGATTCGAAGTGCGTGTTCGTTAGGGCTCAGTGAACTAGAATCTACACTCAGTAGTCAATAGTGTCTGTAAAGCGACGGTGCGAAAGATGTCGTTGTAGAATTAATCTATTATTATTTTGTACGTTATTAAACGTCGAAATCATATTTTTGTATGTATATAATTATGAATATAAATGTTTATTTTAAAATAGATTCAGTATGTTTAATGAAAGTTCATCCTAAAACTAGGTTAATCACACTTTACTCGCTTGGCCTGTTGCCAAATTAGTAAGATTTACTGGTAGTTACTGTATTTATGGGACTGACCTCAAATTGTTATTCTAAAAATTCTCGTGTTTTTACAATATTCAGCCACTACCTTCATGGCGTTTTAAAATTATATCGTATGTAACCCTAAAAACAATTTCAAAAGCTACTGGCACCTGTACTGATACCAGATGAATCCATAGCTGATTTCTGGTACATGGCTCAAAATGGCGGGATTCCACCGTTTGCAAATCTCGTGTTTCAGCCGGGGTTCCTCCTTTCAGCAGGCGTTCAGCAACCGCGACCGGCATTTGTTCAGAGTGACACCGTTACTTTAAGACACCCAAGGCCCGGGGATGATCGAAAAGAAAATGTGTACACAGACTCGCCAGTGTGGGCTGAAAAGGACTGTCACAAAATACCAGCTCATTTTTCTGAGTTTTCTCAAGACAAAGATCCATCTCGAGCTCAAACAGGCAATGACAACATAGGTCAGTCACAATATTCACCACAGGGCCTAAAACTTCTCGGAGCCCAAATACCTGTGACGAAGCAACCGCCTGTCATCACGTGCAAGGTTGGGAAAGTCACAAATGTACCATATGATACTTCTGTCAGCTCGGAAAACAGTCACGGGGAGTCCATAATCTGTAACGAATGTCACAAATGTAAGTGCGAGTCTTGCCAGAAACCTCGGCCACTTCCATCACGGTGGATCTGCAAAGAAAAGTACCTGTGTTCCGCCGACGTTGTAGTTGATTGTTGTTCGTGCATATGTTGTGTGAAAGGTTTGTTTTACCACTGCGCGAAAGATTATGAACAAGACAACAGTGTGTCTTGCGCAGATGATCCGTGTTCTTGTCGCCCTCAGTGTAGATCTTTGAGATGGTTAACTTTAGGAGTTCTGTCTACTTTGTTGCCTTGTTTATTTTGTTACTGGCCAATGAAAGGTTGTATTAAGATGTGTGAAATGGGGTACGATCGACTGTCGAGTCCTGGCTGTCGATGTGTCCCCCGACGAACGGCTAAATCTCCCAATATGGAGAAGACGCCAGAAAAGGGTCTTTTAGATACCAGCTCTGACTGCTGATATCTACAAAAGCTAGATAGATTCAAGAATAACCAAATTGTCATTTGTCAGTGTATTGATAGCTGCTACAGCTTGAGTGGTCTGGTCAAGTAATTCACGAGAAGAACAGAAGTGGGGGGGCTCATAGTCTACATTAATAAATTAAATTAAATGATTGTACAACTATGCAATCATAAGACGCTGTGTTATAAGTCAGTTTAGAACATTTACGGTCGGTGTAAGAAAACTGATATAATCGACTTGTTAAGAATAGTGGTCGTTTCAAAGTTTCAGTGAAGTTATGAAAGTTAAAATGTGTCGAAGAAGTAAAAATGGTGAACAAAAGTAAGTCATTTTATGGTCTTAGTAAAATCATGGCTTTATATACAGAAACAGCTTAAGCTGGAAAAATAAAAATGCCAAAAAAAGTAAGCATTTACTTCACCTTGCACGATTATTTAACCAGAATACAGAATGCATATTATTAATTAACAAATTTCCCACATAATACGATTTTACCATCCAACCTCATATAAAGCTTTTTTTTTTTTCGATTAAAAGTAAATGCGGAAGGTAGAAAGGGAACGATTCTATTTTAGTTTATATATACTCGTATATCTTGATATATACATTAGCGATTGACATTGCTCGTGTACGTTTTATAATCAATCCCACTTTAAACATTTCCGAAAATAAAGATAAATTGAAAAACGTTTTTTCAAAATAACATTTACTACTATTATAAGGTGTTGAATTGTTGATTAATTCCCCATTGTAATTTTTGTACGGTTGGACACGAGGAGCTTCAAGGTTGCCTCTAAGGTTTGAAAATTAGATTTGGCCGCGTTGCGTTATGTTGGGCGTAGAGCCAAGATCTGTTAACGCAAACAATCGTGCGCACAATGATGTGGTTTACATCCAAGTTTACTGTCCTGCAAGTTTCGCTATTGTTTTTAAAGCAATTTAAAAGAACAACTGTAGTTAATGTCAAAATGGACACACAGAAATTTAAGGAAAAAATTTAAATTAGATAGAAATGTAAATTAAAAAAAGCACTTTAAACTAGATTTCAGTTTTTACTTTTTATCAAATATTCTTGCTCAAAGATTTAAGAACTTCATTTGTAAGTTATACTCAGATACACGCGTACATCATCCCTATACATGTATAGTTCTGATAAAACTCTTGAAAATTTCAGAATGACTTAGAAAATCGTTTTGTTTTCATAAAAAAGTATAGACCATGTTATAACTGATATGTTCTAAAGCATTTCTGAAACAGCTACGTTATTATTTTTTTATACTGTTTTATGTTGTTTATGCCGAATTTGTGGGGAGCATGTCAATCCTTATTATTCATAAGAACCAAAAGACAGTTATAACATTTGTTAGATACAATACAATACAAATATGAACATAAGAAATTGTAATTACGAGAATAAGCATAACGTATTAAACACATTAGGAGAGTAGGGTTAAAGTGACAGGACTAGTACGCTTGTAATAACTGAAAATGCAGTTATCTAAAGTATTGTGAATATACATATTTCAATATGTCTATTCTGTCGTAAAAGTAAAATTCTTGAATGTTTCATTGAAGACACAAGATTGCTAATGATATATAATATATGAACTATTTTAATAGAAACACAAAACAGTTCTTTCTGGGAAAATTTTACAATCTCCGAACAAAATGTTTATTTACAGATAATTGTTTGTTGTAAGTAGTGAAGACTTGCAATTCGTTAAAAGAAAACAAATCAATAAGTATGAATAACAACAACAACAACAAAAACGAGTCAAATCCTTAAGATCAACACTCGATAATTTAGTTTGTTTTACAAAAAATTAAAAAGCTTTCTAAATGCTTAATGTCTATGAGAGTAAAATGAATAGCGTTGAGGATTGTTGATAACAACAGGCAATGTGTAGTTTCACCTCAACACGTTTAGTTGATAACAACAGGCAATGTGTAGTTTCACCTCGAGACGTTTAGTTGATAACAACAGGCAATGTGTAGTTTCACCTCGAGACGTTTAGTTGATAACAACAGGCAATGTGTAGTTTCACCTCGAGACGTTTAGTTGATAACAACAGGCAATGTGTAGTTTCATCTCAAGATGTTTAGTTGATAACAACAGGCAATGTGTAGTTTCGCCTCGAGACGTTTAGTTGATAACAACAGGCAATGTGTAGTTTCATCTCGAGTCGTTTAGTTGATAATAGCAATGTGTAGTTTCACCTCGAGACGTTTAGTTGATAACAACAGGCAATGTATAGTTTCATCTCAAGACGTTTAGTTGATAACAACAGGCAATGTGTAGTTTCACCTCAACACGTTTAGTTCATAACAACAGGCAATGTGTAGTTTCACCTCGAGACGTTTAGTTCATAACAACAGGCAATGTGTAGTTTCATCTCAAGACGTTTAGTTGATAACAACAGGCAATGTGTAGTTTCGCCTCGAGACGTTTAGTTGATAACAACAGGCAATGTGTAGTTTCATCTCGAGTCGTTTAGTTGATAATAGCAATGTGTAGTTTCACCTCAAGACGTTTAGTTGATAATAACAGTCAATGTGTAGTTTCACCTCAAGACGTTTAGTTGATAATAACAGTCAATGTGTAGTTTCACCTCAAGACGTTTAGTTGATAATAACAGTCAATGTGTAGTTTCATTTCGAATTATTTAGTTGATAATAACAATCAATGTATAGTTTCATCTCGAATTATTTAGTTGATAATAACAATCAATGTGTAGTTTCATCTCGAGACGTTCAGAGGGCATTATTTATCTGCTATACTTATTTGGAGACAACTTTGCAAGAAAAGGTAAAGCTAGCATGCAGTTCGAAACTCTGTCTTCAAGGGGTAGACAAAAATTAATATGGAGTAATATAAATGTTTGTAAAAATAACTTTTAAGGTTAAAACTGATAGATTATTATAATCAACCTTACTATATACAATGTAATTTTATAAATATGCGTTTATTTCATGTATAATTTTTTCAGTTGGGTGCAAAAACACCTTGCAAATAGGTCTTTTTTTTATTCACATCCATGACCGATTGGTTGTCTCGAACATAAGTAGAACTCTCCAGGTGTTGTATATACAGGGCTTAAAATTAAATCAATAATATTTGAAATACATATTTGTAGACTGCCAACAGGCGAATTACATTAATATGAATTTCAGCGAAGAACCTTAATTTTATTCGTGGCTATGCACGTTTCTCATTCTGTGACTCTTTTAATCTTGATTATTTTGAACCGTAAAGTAAGCAGTAGATGTTAATTTACATATTTTTGAACACTTATTCGTATATATCGTGAATTTGAAGTTCCTATCACTCAAAATAAACAATAAAATAAAGTCATTCTTTTTTTATGAGTAAGTATGAGTAAAACATGTTACTACTACTACTACTAGTTAATTATCAGTTACTAAAAGGCATTACATTTAAGAAAGTGTGTAGTCATTATATTGAAAGTAACGTTTCACTTAACAGAAGTCGTTTGAATTTTTCATTGTTTACAAGTTTTTACGATTATAAAGACTTGATTATTTAAGTGGCTTTGAGTTACCTACAGCGAACTTTGGCAGGAAGCACGAATATTCAGACTGAATGTTACGCGGGAGACATATAAACATTCATTTGGCAGAGCTCGTGATTAGAAAAGTTTTGTTTTTGGATTTGTTTGCTGAGGTATAATGGTGTTATGTTTTCAAGCGCCTCAGTGACCAAGACCCCATATTCAGGCAGTTATTTAATGAACAACGTTTTAACACTCAATGAATCGTGGGGAATGAATGTATAATATCAACCAGTGAAATTATTTCACACGTTATGTCTAACATTACATAAAATGTAGCAACTGGATTTATTTTTTTATGCCAGACGGCACCAACAGTAACTGGTAGTTAAGAGATTGATTAGTTTCTTGTGTATGTTCAATATTACAGTGTATGACTAAAGTAGACATGAGTAATAAAATAATCTGAAAAATAATTCATATATTATTATCTGCAATCTGCGCTTTGCAGTCTGCAGTGTTGTCCTAAATGGTGAAACGTGTTATGTTTTCATGTGTTGTTCTAGAATGGTGAAACGTGTTATGTTTCATGTGTTGTTCTAGAATGGTGAAACGTGTTATGTTTCATGTGTTGTCCT